AGTCCCTACCTCTCCCTTCTTTTATTTATAACTAGCATTTCGTTTAATTGATTGTTAAATTTAACTAGCAGGTCATCAAATTTTCGGATTAAGTTAACATAATGTGAAATTCCATATAATTAGAACTACATTCGCTGACAAGCTACTTTTGCATTAACAGAGTTGTTTTTATGGAAAGAATTTTGTTTCAAAATATTTTCACATTCTAGTTTTAATACCTAATAATGATGCTTTAATAAAGAATAATTTTTTCAACAATTTTTTATTCGCATTTTAAATTAACTTCAAGAGTTTCAGGAACATTTACAAAATTGAAATAGATTGAGATATACACAACTTTATGTAGCCCACAATTTTTCAGACCGTAAGTTTGAAACATATATATAAAAATATATTCCTTCAAATATTTATTTTGAAAGAAATGTTGCTTTAATTTATTGTTGTAACAGCATAGCTTATTAAATTGCTGACTCAATAAAATTCACGTTCGAAGTTTTGCAAGAAATAACAAGTTTTTCGAAAGAAGTTTCCTATATTTTAACATGGAATTGTTACGATTTTGAAGTGTTCTGGAGCATTAATTTCAACATACTCATGCGCTTAAAAAACTTATGTATAGGCGCTGCAAGAAAATTAAATTTTTAAAGTATGTATGATTCAATTGAAATTTTGAGACAACATATATAAAAAACGAAATTAAAAGCAATGTTTGGTTTTGTAATGGATTAGAAGCTGCATTTAGACACCAGTAGGCACTTTTCTCAAAAAAGATATATTTATATATTATATATTTATGTACACTTTTTTAATTTTTGTTTGTACAAAACTGGTTTGAATTGGCTCAAAACCATATTTTTAAAACAACGGCATCACTCATCGGAGAAAAAGCAGGCCATCAGAGAGATTATAAATCTTTTTTTTTTCCAAAGGCATTTTAAAACACAAGCTGCCTGCTTTACAACACAATCATCACATTTAAATTATAAAGCTTCGTTTAAAATTAAATAAATCACAAGCAGGAATGCCAACCATTCAGAAAAATTTTCAAACATAGAAGCATGCCTCACAATAAAATAAAATTTATTTTTTGCCATCTAAATATGATTAGTTTTAACTTTTGATGGGCACAATTTCATTTGAGTGACAGTTCTTTTGACTTTTTTTTCTCTCTCCTAGTTGCCAACAGGGATAGGAAAAAATCCAGTAAATTTAACGAAATAATATACAACATATTTTACACATAGGGATTTCTTATGGTCATCAAATAGAAAAACTGCAATATTTTCCAGTTACCATTGACATTAAATGAACTTGAAACACTATGTATTATGTTTACTCATAATTTTTATTAGTAATAGGACTTATTTACTAAGTTAAAATGAAGTTCTGAATAAAACAGAGAACCTTTTAAAACGAAAAATAAAGTTTTAAACTGATTTCATGAGGCTCGATTATTTATTAGAAATATGCATTTAAATATTCAAGTAAGCAATAATTTATAGGGATTTTTTTTTCAGGAAACATACTTAATTTCAGGGAATTTTCTAAAAATTTACAAAGACCAGGAGAATTTTCTACCAAACCAGTAGACCAGGAAAAATGAGCAAAATCCAGTGAGTTGGCAGTTATGTGGTTTTATTTAACCAGTTAGGAAATTTCCTTCAAGCAGGGTTCATTGATTTAAATCAGCTAGATTTTTAATCAACTGATCTCTTTGAATAAAATCATAGGTTTAAACAAATTATTCCTTAAAAAATATATTTAAACTGACTGCTTAAAAAAAAATGCATAGATTTAAAAATCTTTCCTAAAAATATGAGGATTAAAAAAAAAAAAAGACACAATGGGGATTAATGTTACAGTTGAAAATATATTGTTCACTTTACAAAACCCCTAGAAGAAAAACGCGAATGAAGTAACCTTTTACAAGTAGAATTTGTGGTACTTCACAAGATGGATCAAGTGCATCAAAATCATTTTTATTTAAGCCTGAAAATTAATTCCTATAGAAAATTTAGCAAATGAAATTTTCCTTCGCGGTTGATGTTTTAAAATAATGTACTTGACAATGCATGAAAGGTCATGCATTTAATTCTTATCTCATAATCCTGTTTAGTACTTTGAAAACGATTCCCTCATAAAAATGTCAAAAAAAGCAAGCTTTTCAGTTACGACTTTTAATATCTTGAAATGAATGTAATGTAGTGAATAATAAAGATTGCTTAAGATTTACACCAGAAAAAGTTTTAAAATAGCTTTGAAATTAAGTTATTTTAGTTAAACTTGCTGAAATTTTCGATGCTTCTTTTTTTTGGGGGGGGAGGGGGGATATTTACCTGATTACTTTCTTATACTTATTAATTTTGAGTTTAAAATAACTTATTTTTAAATTTACTTTTAGTTCACCTGCTGAAAATTTTTAATGATTTTTCGAAAAAATAATTATATTTCTTTAAAAATAATTTTATTACTTATTGTCAATGATTTAATTTTTATTATGATTTACATAACATGACCATCCCTGTTATAATTTTTTAAATGGTTGACAAAATTATGTACTTTTAACAAATTTTTATAAAACTCAATCTCAATTCAGTTATAATTTCAGAAAATTAAAACAAGGTTGGAAAATTCACAATTGTTGGCATTCCTAGATTTAAAAAAAAAAACAGCTTTTTTTCCCTCTTTACCTTGTGTCATACAACAAACAAAAACAAATTTTGGAAAAACATACATGGAGTTATTTCATATTATACTGAGATGCAATAGAGTAACTTATTAGAGAAAAGAATACATTGCATATTTCATATAACTGAAAGCAATGGATTAACTTATTATATGAAAGCATAAATGTAATAATTTCGTACAGGGCTGCCACTCAAACCAAAAAAAATAAAAAATTCCACATGTTTTCCCTGTACATATTATACACAACATATTATGAGGAAACACAACAATTATTGTGCTGTAGTGTGAGCTATATTGGGCTAACTATACTAATTTAAATTGAGGGAAAAAAGGAACATACTTAAATAATGCTATAGTAAATGAAATAGTTGAATATAGCTGAAATATCTTTCTTAAATATCCCATAGATTGCACTTTTAGTGGTCACCATTTTTTAAAATACAAAAATAAAAAACAAAATTTTCAAATTGTCAAGAAAAAAATTTCCTGCATTTTTCCTGTTATTTTTAAATTCCTCACATTTTCCAGGTTTACCCAGTCAAGTGACAACCCTGTATTAGTAATTGAATAAGTACACACTGAAATTGAAATTAATCTCTTCGCAATTAATTCACTCGTTTTTAAACCTAACCTAAAACACAATATTATTACTCAGATAATAGACGTACAAATAAATATGGATATGAGTAATTCATAAATTGGATGGGAATTACAAAAATTTAACATTATTAAGTTTTAAGAACATTTACATATATATTAAAGGAAATGGAGAGGAAAACATTAATAAAATATTGTATAAGGGGGTCAACATTTTAGTGTCAACTTGGCATGCATTACATTTGAGATGTTTATATAGATTCAAATATTTATACCATGCAACAAAGTAATTGATCAAAAGTATATAGGTAGATTGAAACAAAATATGCTAGAACATCATTTACGATTAGCTGTTTTTTAACTTAAAAAACTAACATATTACATGAAGGGGTAAAAGAAGAGTAAATTATGAAGATACAGTAGACACTGGATTATCTAAGACAAGGAACACGTCAAAATTCCTTGAAAATTACGTCAAAATTATTAGAGGTCTTAAAGGTATACTTTTAAAATGAGCCAAATGGAAGGGCAAAATTATTACAAAAATTAATTAGCTTCACTTTTAAAACCAATAAATCTGCCAAGTACAGAGATTTTTCTCATAATTAAAAATCAAACAGTTTTAATAAGGAAAAAAATTCAGGTTTTTTAGTTGTAATCTATGTTTTGACAAAGAGAAAGCAACTTTGTGTAATTGCAATTCAAATTACAGATTTGGTACACAAAAAAATTACAATCTTGTTTACTCTTAAATTTCAATCTCAGCAAATTCCAAATTTGAAAAACCAATAGAGATGCACTTGCTTCTGCGCTTCATATCAGTCGAGGCAAAGAAATAATTTCGCAATACTTTAAAATTCTTAGTATACCAATTTTGAACATTTGTAATAAATTTTTCATTTCATGATTAATCCGTTCAATAGTCATTCTCTTCTGATATTTTTGCATGTAAGTAAAGTGTCTTGCATAATCAAGATCATAATAATCTGGGGTCTACTGTAAACTTTTTATAAGCATTATTATAGTTTTCTTCTATTTTTAATAGAATGTTTCTTTAAGTTTATAAATTAATCCTAATTATTAAATTAATCAAGTCTTAAATGAAACAATTTCACACTGAAGCATTTTAAAGAATTTTAAAAAAAATATTTTTTTTAAAAATACATTTAAAACCTAACAAGAAAGAAAAAAAAAGTTTTTTTTTCTTCCTGAATTAAACAGAGAACTCAATGCAAATTTATAAATCCTTCAGGAAAATAATTAACTATGCCAGGAAGAAAAAAAATGGAAAGAGCAAATGTACTCCAACATATTTGTTAGCAATAAAAATATAAAGCATAAATTACTCACATTTTTTTTCTATTATTATTTTCTGAAGGTTTTGAGGCAAAACTTTCTGAATACTGCAGATATTAACCTCAAACTTGAATAAGCTCACAGTTTCTTCAAAACTAAAGCATTCTGATTAATTTAAATAATTAAAAGAATAAAATTTACAAAATTAAAGCTTTAAATATATTTTTTTTTAAACAAAAAGTAAAATTAACACTTTCATTAAAAACTATTTCATTCATTACATTTTCTAAAAGATAATTTTTGCATGTTTCCTCACATTGAATCAAGTCGAATAAACAGTTTTCTCTCTCCTTAAATCCCCCCTCAAATAAATGATATAACCAACGTGCTTTCTCTAATCAATTACTTTTCTGTCAACCTGTTAGTGTTTAGATTAAAACTGATTTAGAGTATAATAGAATTAAAAATTTTGACAACTAAACACTCAAAGCCAATTATAAACATGCTGCCACAGTAAACCACCACCAAAGTTTTGAAAAGAAACTAGATGGATTGATTTGTTCTTAGTTTTTACTTTGATCAATTGTCATCAATGACACAAAGTATAAATTTCACTTTAACAAATAAGTTCAACATATTTGCAATTAAAACTTAATGAGGCAAAAATTTTAAATCTATAAATAGCACATTCTATAGACATTGCATAGATAAATACGAGCATGATTAAGTACAGAAGGTTTGAGCAAAACATTTTTTTTTAAATAGTATAATACAAAACACTTATTCTATTGTGAAAATAACTTTTTGTACTATAAAAGATAATAAAATTTCAACACTGTTCTGGAGTACACGCACAAAATAGAAAGAAGAAGAAGAAAAAAACAGATGAAGAACAATTTTTGATATTTGTAGTACAATTTTATAAATAAACTTTTTTACATACTCTAAAATCACTTCAACATATATATTTTAACTTTAAACAGTACACACAATTGATTTTTTATTGCTTTTTTTTTTAGATTAATGAAATCATTCTTTATGTAAAAAAAATGTAATAATGCAGATATCACAAATAATTGTACAAGGATGATAAATCAATATAGGGATGATAATAAATAAGTGCACAGTGATGCTTGGGCAGGCAGCTTTTTAAGAACACGTTTCATAGTAATATACTACGAACCGCTTCATCCAGATCCGGTTCCCTAGAGCCACTCGAAAAGCCCACTTCGCCACCCACACCTCCAAAGTCTGTGATGTGCGTGTTATGACTGTGCCTATTCAACGACAGAAAATCAGTTCCCTCGAAATAAGAACGACTCTCCGCTGGTGTCCCTATAATACTTTTGATGGCACTCTGTACTTGATCTCGCGTACTCGAAGAGCTGTTCTGCATTGTGCTAGTACCCGGGAACCTTTTATGATGTTTAGGAATACGATACCCTATAAAGTTTGGTTCAGAATCGGCAGAAGTCTCGTCCTCCTGGATGCCGTTTGGAATGCAATGCCGACTGTCGTTCAAATGTTCCTCCAGCCCATCCAGGCCGGATAAATCTAAATCGGACGCACCGCTCTGGTGTCCGACCATGATATTCTCGACGGCAAGGTCTGTTTCGTTTGCCTGAGGATGAGTGTAATCTTCTGTCCAATCTGATCCCAATAGATCAAAATCATATTTAATAGCACAGTTAGTTCTTATACTACTATTATACAACAAGTTTGAATCACAGGACTCTTCCGTCCTAGCGACCGGAGGCTCAAAGTCCGCTAAATGGTTCGCCACGCTAGGAGTATCAAAGTCCACTATGTGTGGAACATCTTCGTCGTCGTCATCATCGTCCATCTCCATAGGAGACATATCTAGCTCTTTCCTTATTTCGTACACCACATCGTCACTTTGAAACGCTTGGCGTGTCATAAGGGGGTACGTGTTATTTGTCTTAATTTCAAAGTCTTTCTCACTATTTTTCTTGTCGGCCGTTCTCCCGAAGGAATTTTCGGGCTCGCAGCTCAGCGATGGGGGTTCTTGTGGTTTACAGTTAGAGCTACTATACATTTCTGTTTTGGGGCTATTGTACTTCAAACGTTTTCTGGGAGGAGGAGGTTCCTCGGAGTCACTTTCAGAAAACTTTTCATTTTGTATCACTATCCTTTTAAGAGTAGGAGGGCTGCGCTCACAGCTGTCGTCATTTTGCGGCACCACTATGTCTGCACAGCTGTCAATCACAGGCGCTTCTAAATTGTCATCCTCCTTACAGAGGGAGTCACTGTCTTCCTTTATCGGACGATCAAGGCTCACCTCGGGAGGCTCGTCCGGTTCGCTAACCGGTTCTTCTTTGATGCTCTCTGTTTTTACCTCGACCGACTTCTTTAGTTCTTGAAGCCAAGAAGAGGGTGGTGGTGGTAGAGACAAGTCTAAAATACAACATTATTATTACTAATCATAAAAATTGGAATTTTACTAGGGGTGAAAACAGCATATAGTTTGTCTACGGTAAGAACTCCCCCCGCCACAAAGTCTGAGGCCGTCTGCTGCTATGGAAACAAGAATAGCACATTTCAGGGAGGGTAACTTCTCTTCACTCTAGGATAATACGAAGAAAAAGATTCCCTTAATTGTGCCCACCCGAGCCAAAACCTGTCCTAAACAGTGATCCCACACCCCTACTTGAAATAGATATACCTCGTTACCTTAGTCACCGCCACGGGTCCAGACGAATGTCTAGGGGAGTGAGTTCTTACTTTAGACAAACTATAGATTTTTCATAAAAAATTTTATCACAAAAATATACAAAGAAATTATGAAATAAAACAAATGATAAGAGCTCTGGTTTACAGCTAGAGCTACTAAGTAAGTAACAATTTCATGAAACTGAATCAATTCCTGTGGCTTCAGATCACGCTTGCCACTGAAAACTGCATCGAGTACAGAGATATGCAATAAAAAAAATCAGTAGATCAAAAAATTATGAATGAATATTAAAATTAAAACAACTTTGACAGCCATCAGAGTATGCCTATTAACAAATAAAATATATATTAAGAAAAACTAATTGCGTCTTCGTTCAAATGTACTTAAATTTCATGCAAACATAAATTAACTGCACAAATAATGAACAAATTTAAAAAAGTAATATATATATTGAATATCATCAAGTAATAAAATTAATTAATTTAGTGACAAGAAGAGACATCTAGATTGACTAAAATTTTTTAAACAACATGTGATTTCAAAGCAAATTAAAAAAACTTACTTTTTCCTTCAGCCACTAAAGCTTTATCCTTTTGTAAAGCTGCTCTTTCATCATCAATGAACAGGCGCTCCATTAAAACTTGATCGGGAGTAGGGCACATACGCTGCAAATATATAAAAACATTTATTTATTTATTAAGAGTAAGCTAATTATTACTAGAAAATTTTATGAACAAGCAATTAAGATGTTTTTTTTTCTTCCATTTAATAGAATGAGTACAAATATTGTTTAGAGGTTTTGCAGTGTAAAAGAATAAGTTGACCTCCGATTTTCAATTTTTGAAGTGTATGATACTGTCTTTACAAATTGGCCTGTCAAATTAACAATTAAAAAAAATTTACACAACAGAAAGTTGCATACCTAAATAAAAGTTGAAAACAGTAAAAAATTAAAACTAATGTTGACAGAAGGAAAAAACAATTTATAAAAATAACAAAATTATAAATCAGAGAGAAAAAATAAATCACACTTAATTAAATATAATGGAAAATTAAATTTTTGGCATTTTAGATATAAATGATAGTACTATAAAATAGTTGCAAATAGTCTCATTTTAGTCACCTGTGGCAACCTTGTTAATTATGAATTCATCACCATAAAAATTTCATAATACAAAATTGAGTTTCTTTGGAGAGAGAGAGACTAAATTAGTTCCCAAACGAAATTAAACAATGAAACCTGGAGACTGTAAGGCTGATAATTAGTAGCCTGTCCCTGAATTAAAACTACCGAATTTTACAATTTCTACTAGCATTATTAATTTTTAAAAAAAGAAGGTAAGAATAAAAATAAAAACTTTGGATTCTAAAAATCTATATTTTTAAAAAAATCTACATGGTGGCCACACTGGATACAGCAAAATGACAAAGTTGAAATTTTCAAAATTTTGATCAAAACTGCTAAATGGAAAATTCTGAGTCTTTAAAATTGCACGCTTATAAAGACTGAAAATAACAGAACAACCTAACAACTATTAATTGACTTACCATGCTTTCTTTTAGTAATAAAAGGTGGTATTTGCTTCTCAAAATTTTCATATTTGTAAAACATTGCTTAGTGGCTTTTTCAAATGCTTCATCTGCTAAAAAAGTAAATGAAAATTTAGAAAACTCACATGAAATTAGACATATTTTTATTTTACAAAGATCAGTTAATTTTCAGATAAATAGTAAAAATAATTTAAAAATATTACAATTATCAAAACAAAAGTTGTTGCAAAAGGAACTGAAATAAAACTTGTTAATAGATTTTTCTTTATATATTAGAATATTATTACACTAATTTTTTAAAGGAAGCTAAACAAATAAATATTGTTACTAACAAATTAACATCGAAAATTTATAATAACTAGTTACATTAAAAATTATAAGAACAATCTTGAGGAAATATTATTTACCTTTTTTAGGAAGAAAAAAAAGGTAAGGCAATTCATCAATAAATTATTCTAAATATAATTGAATTTAGAACAGGGTTCGCAAAAATCCGGGTTTTAAACAAACAAAAAAAAAAAAAAAAAAAAAAAAAAAAAAAAAAAAAAAAAGCTCACATGGGTTTTTGTCATGAAAAAAAAAAATAATTTTGCCTAGGGATAATTGAGTTTTTCATTAAAAAAAAAAACCTGAATTGGGTTTTTTCATGAAAAACCTACTTAGGCATAATTATTACCTGTTTTCATGAAAAAAAACAAATTTTGCCCGAAGATAAGTGAGTTTTTTTTAAGTATATTCTGCATGCATCACATATATATATAAAATATAAACATAAGATACATTACATGATGAAAAAATATTGCTTAATTATTACTAAAGGAATTAATAAAAGAAATAGTTATATATATAAATATTTCAGTCATCTTTATGCTTTCTAAATGCATATTGAATTACTGAATTGCATTGTGAAGTTACTAATATGATTCTTTGTAAAATACAAAGCATAATAAGTTATGTCATTACTTTAAATTATACATAAACACACAATTTGCTTTTAAGTTACTGAATGGAATTTTTAGAAATATTTCAAACATTAATGAAATGAAATACACTAATTTTTTTATAGCACATATGTACATTAGTATTTTTTATTTTAACTTCTTTATATGTCTTATAATGTTAAAATAAAATATGTATAAAAAATTTTAAAAAATCAAATTTTATTCTAATTAAAAATTTTATCCATCTAAAAAAGTTAAAAAATTATTTTAACATTTGTTTTTTAAGCATTACAAGTGCAAACTTTAAGATTTTACTGGATATGCAGAAATACTCATTAAATTCAATTAATAATTTTGTATGAATGAGCATACCATGAACAAAACCAATGTACACAATATGCATTCACATTTCATTAAATAATATGTTAATAATATATTAAATAATATGAATAATATGTTCACTGTATAATTTAATCATTATTTTGTAATTAAAGAAATTCATATCAAATAAAATATCAGCAAACAAAAATAAGATTCATAAACATTGAATCATAAATTTTTAATAGTACTCAGTACTCATTAAAATGTAAAAAATAATTTAAATCTCATGTGTCATAACAATTTAAGGAAACTAAAGACTTAAAATATTAGAAACTCTCTCTTTAATTTCTCATTTTTAAAATATTTAAACGTAACAAACTATTAAACCCTTAGGATAACAGTTTGAACTGAACTAATCAAAATCAGAAAATATTCTCTCTAGTTCAGCTGTCAGTGAATAGTTAAGTAACATCAGTGAATAGTTAAGTAATTAGATGAAATATTTTAGATTTCAACTAATATTCTAAATTATTGTTTTATTTCTGTGCAAAATTCTTGGTTTAATATTCTTAAGTTTATCTTCACATACAGATTTTTTTTGCAAAAGTTACAGAAGATGTAATAGAAATCTCTGCAATAGAAAAATAAAATTATATATACCATTATCACATTCAGCTAGAGAGGGCAGTTTTGAGTTGTAGACATGATAACTGAGGAGTCTCCTGCAAGCATCAGCTTTTGACAGAAATGGAGTTTTAAGATCTGGGTTAAGTGAAGCATTTTGATCTTTTGCTAATTGCTCAGATATCCTAAAAATAAATCAATACATTTTTCAGTGATGAGTTTGGTAAAAAACCCAAAAAAGGTAAAAATATAAATGTTATGAACACATTTTTGAAAAAAATGTGAAAATATCTGAAATTTGCGCAAGAAAAAAGTATGTAGGAAGAATTATATCAATGAACGATTTTTCCCTCCTTCTTTAAATTGTGAGAATATGAATCCCGATGTGAGGTTTTTAAATTGCGTGAATACGAATGGGCAATGTATAATTTTAAATCTCATGAGAACAGAGCACAATGTGTAATTTGTAAATTTCGTAGATAAGTATTGCGATGCATATTTTTAAATGGCGTGAATTCGAATCGCAAAGTGTGAAAGATGCGCATTTTCTTTTTTTTTAAAATTTGTGCATGCTGAAGGAAATTTTTTAAATAACATGAATATGTATCGAGATGAGGTCATTTTAAATCGAGTGAATACGAATCACGATGTGTTGAGTGATAATTTTAAATGGTGCTTACACAGGGGTGATTGTGAGCCCAAGTCAAAATTCCGGAAAATTTATTGAGTTAAAAAAAAAAAAGTTTAAACTGAAAAAAAATTTAAACAAGGTTTTTTTTCCTTCCTTTTTCTCAATATTTCTTAGTTTACTTAAAATATTTTTAAAATTTCACACATACCTATGATAACCTGGAGAAGTAATTAAAATTTACAAATAGGTCTTTCTTTCTTGAGTTTATGATTATAAGAGCTATTTACTGATAAAAAATGAATATTAATCATGAATATAAGCTTATAAATCTCTTAGCATATCTCTGGCTCTCCCTTACAAACAAATAAAATAAACTGTGTTTTTAAGTTCCACCTTTGAAAATTTGATTTCAGGAAACTTCTGTGATCAATGATGTTTTTAAACGTTTGGACCTTCGATTTCCGGATCACTGTTAGCGAAAATTCCGGAAATCCGGATTTTTTCCAGAGCACAATCAGCCCTGCTTACATAGAAAAAAAGGAGTCTTTTCTTTTGAGGAGAGATAGAACTCGAAAAAGGCAGAACTTACTTTGAAAAGACAAAAGATTTTTTTTTTTACTAAATAGGGAAAAAAAATAAACTGAAGTGCCTTAAAGCGGAAAAAACTCATCCATGATTTTTTAAAGCTTTTTCAATATTCATTTAATGTCAAATCAAAGATTTAATAAAAAAGAAACATAAACCTTTTGAAGAAAAAAAACATGAGACCACGGGAGAAGAACAGTTTAAGCCTATGTTTAAAAAATGACGATTTGATTACTATCTGTTGCATTTTGAGTTTTGACAAATGAAATAGTAGAAAATCGGATCTCTCTGGGAGAGATGTTACACAGTGAATAGCAGCTGTGGAAAAACATTTCTCCTCTGCCTAAAAAAAAAAAATTTTTCCCCCTCAGAATCATCTTCATTCGTGAAAAACTAAATTCAAAGGTATTATGGTGACACTCAAAATAATTCAACAAAAAGAATCAGTAAAAGAAAATACAGGGTGCATAGCCAAATTTTTCAAGAAAAGATAAGCACCTTTTAAGCACTAAAGGGAATATTTTTAAGCACTATACATTAACAAAATGCAAAAAGTGTTTAAAAACTTTACATAATCATGATTAAGTAATTAGTTTTTGACGAATAACTCTTTTTCTTGAATATATTAGCCACCATAAAAAGATTGAGATTTTTTCGGTTCAATTCAAATGAAGCCTGAAAATGAGAATATCTTTCAAAATGAAACAGAGTTGCACCGAAAAATCTTACCGAACCTAGCTCAGTAGACACGTAGTAGATGTGTCAGTAGATGCGTACCCGCCAGTATTCTATCAAACATGTAAAATGATTGGAACTTTCGTACGCTACTGACCGACGGAACGAAGTGTGTTTGATTGAATTGTGAAAGCGAACAATGTGAAAACCTCGCTTTTGCATAATACAGGACAAAAATCGACACCGTAAAGAAAGGAAATCTCATTTTCGAAAAAACAAAATTAAGCACCCAATAAAAAAGCACCTTTAATGGCTTTTTAAAAAATCGAAAATAAGCACCTTAAAGCACATTTTAAAAATGTTATGCACCATGAAATATATATAATACCAAAAAAAACTATGAAGAAATTAACCCTTTGCGGTCTTATTAAGTTTATACACGGGTGTCATGCTGGTCGAAATTAATTTACCTAAACACAATTCATAAAATATTATCTCCGAAGCTTGTCGACTTAATATAATATTGGTATAATTGTTTGCTGTGGTGACTGAGAGCAGACATATGATCGCAAAGGGTTAAAGTAATGTGGTTCATTGTAGCAGTTTACACTGACAGTTAAAGAGCTTATTTAAGCATGCAAGCTAAGCAGACATAAAAACAAATAAATACTTACAGCACAGTTTTAGGTACAGAATTAATGACTGTCCTTTTAACATGAGGAATTACCTAAAAATAGACACAAATTAGTAATGAAAGTAACTTTTTTAAGGTAAACAAAAAACATTGTTACAGGGACATAAATTACAAAAGTGAAAGTTAAAAATATTTAAACTAAAAGGAATAAATAATAAAATACTCACTTTAATATAATTATATAAAAAAATTCAGTGTGCAAATTTGTTTTATTTTTTTTTCTACAAAATGAATATCAATTCCTGATACGATACGGTTTGAAAAAGTATAAAATGAATAACTCAGCGGTAAAAAATAAAAAATTCTTTTTTTCACTAAATGAATATTAATTCCTCATAGGTGTTGAAAAAGTAAACAATCAATAAATCAGTCCTCAAAAATGCTATGAAATAATGTAATTAAATTAAAACTGAAACATAAAAAAATTACATTTCTTTACTATAATTATATTACTATTAATACACATTACTTTTTTAATTAAATGTCGTTGATTTTAAATTACCTGCTAAATATACACACATTTTAAAAGCATAACTATAAAAAACAAAGTAAACTTGTGGTTTCAGATAAATTTAGAAATATTAATTTGCTGACAGTTGGCTGCTGCTACTATCACATTGAATTTATCTCACCCAACGAATGTAAAATAATCAAAAATTCAAAAATGTACAACCAACTTCCATTCTTTATTAATGATAGCTATAAGCTAGTAAACCTATTTGATGTTATCTTTAAACTATTTGCAGTTTAACTTACAACAATGGAGAATTCAAAGCAAATTAGAGAATTTTATTTTTCAAAAGACTCTCAAGAATGATTGAATTAAAAAAAAAAAAGGACTATGGCTAATATTAGCCTTTTCATCTATTTCTAAATTTTATGACACTAGCATAAATGGTTCTAGAGTTTTAAGAAAGAGAAACATAACTATTTATTTAACTATTATAAGTTAACAATCAGCAGGGGTAATTGTGAGCCCAGATCAAAAATCCTGAAAATTTCTTGAGTAAAATCATTAATGACACATTTAAAATTTTTTTATGTCTTTATAAATTTAAATCATTGATATTTCCCAACATGAAATTCTAAATAAATTATATGCATCATAATTTAAATTAATAATTATGTTCAAGTTTACTTTTATACTCTAATCACACTTATTAGTCTACCAGAAAAAATATTTTCAAATGAGAGAGATGCCAAGTTTAAATTTTAGTTCTAATATTGTTAAATAAAATATACAAGATTTTTTTAAGCATAAATGTGATTGATGATTTCTTGAAAATTCTGTACCTTGGATTTCCGGATTGCGGTTAACCAAAAATCCAGATTTTTTCCGGAGCACAGTCATCTCTGCAATCATAATGTGTGTAAACAAATTTTTAAATTACAATTATTTTCTCACTAGATTTTATTTTTGTTCTTTATTTAAAAACACGACAAATTAAATTGTTGACTCCCTGTTAAAAGTTAAAGCAAAAAACCATTATATAGCTTTCCTTATACATAAATATATAATATGCTTAAACTTACTTTTGGAACATTTGTACACACCGGAGCATTTAGGGACGCAGCAGGCTTTTGTAATTTTACAATAACTTGAGGCTGGAATAATTAAAAAATATAATAAATAAATAAAAACTGAATACATTACAAAGGTAGAGTTTGCATAAATAGCATATTTTATTAATAGCATAGTATAAATACAGGTTTGTCACTCAAATTTGGAAAACAAATTCCCGCTACGTATTATGCACAATATATTAAGAGGAAAAACATAATCACTGTGCTCTAATATGAGCTATATTGAGCTAACTATATTAGCTATAATTGCTGAAAAATCTTAGAGAAAAAAGTAACATCTGAACATACTTAAATAATGCTATAGTAAATGAAATAGTTCAGTAAAACTGAAATATCCTTAAATATCTCATAGATTACACTTTGACTGGTCACTGTTTTTTAAGAGACGAAGAAAATAAAAAACAAATTTCCCTGTATTTTCACAGTTTGTAAAGGAAAAATAAAAATTTATGATTTATTTAAAAATATTAAAAAAAACTCTAGAAGCCATACAGTACAAAATATAACATTTGGCACAATTTTTACTTTTGATAAATAAAATAATTTTTTTTCAGTATTTCGATAAGTTTTAATACAACAAAATCTAAACTAATAGATTTTCCTTTTTGGAAACCTTCTGTGGTTTTGCATCACTTTAATTTCATACCATTTAAACAAAAAATTAAAGAGAAGTTTGAGAAAAGCACAGAGAACAGTTTTTTTAAAATTATACAATTAATTTTATTAGTATATTTTTTCATCCAATATAATTCCATATCAGTAAATTTTGTATTAATATCAGTACATGAAATCATTATTTTTATTCTATAATTACCTGAATTTCAGGAGCCGTTTTGTTGTTGGTAGGTACGGGTCTCTGGACAGGAATTTGATTAACCTAGTAATAAAAAAAAAATTATCACTAAAAAACAGTAATGAATTAAGATGAAAATCAATACTTTGAAAAATAAATAACTCATACATTTTAATACTACTAGCATTTTTACAATAGCAAATAATAATTCTTCGACCAGACACCAAAGATAAGAAAATTTGAAGAACCAGTACGAACAGTTTAGATGCATATAAAAAAAATTATGAACCAAAATAAAAAATAAGTACTGTTAAAGAGTTTTAAAGACTTAAGAATTTCATAAAGATTGTATGAAAATTGTAATGTATATATATATATATACTGAAATATTTAACACATCCAAACCCTGAAGATCCCTTATACTTCAAAAAAAGTAATTTGCTTTCTCAAGAAATTCTTTATAAAATAAAAATTATGAACCTTATAATGTTAATAATATCTTTTAATGCTCTGATGATATTCTATTTCAGTTACTTTTTTTTAGATGGATACAAATGTTTAAAAATACATGAAATTAGTATAATCATCATAAATTACATTTTAATTTAAAAGTAAAACAAAGTTCTTCCAAAATATTGGTCAGTGACTTAATAAATTGAAAATTGGTTTGCATATAATTCTCAATAAGATAATATGAGAGACAAGGAAATTAGAATTTGAGAAATTCTAAACATTTCAAAACAGCCAGTCTTTAAGTTTATTTTTTCAGTAAAAGCTTTTTTTAACTCAACTGATTTTTTCTCTTTAAATTACATTCAGTTTCGTCGACATTGTCTATCTCTCTTTTAATAAAGAATGGCATAGCTGCTGGTGATTTAAAAAAAATGCATTAGAGACTTTTCTCTAAACTGATTTGTAATATGAAGCAATAATAAATTTATACAAATCATTAACAATTCTTGTAATTTATTCCTTATAGTGTAAAAAAAAACGTGTTTTACTACTAATCATTCCTTAGAATAAAATATTTAATGCAACATAAAACACATTTATTTCTGATTCATAAAATAAAAGGAAGTTGTAAAAGCTAATAAAGATTTAAGTTAAGAGTAAGTGACATCAAGACATATTTTCACAAAAATTATTAGGACAGTTTAACAAAGTACTAAATTTTATGAGCTCTTTCTACAAACAAGACTTTCACAATTTTAAAAGAACATCAGATGATGAAACAAAAATATTTACTTTTTGAACAGTAGAATGTACAACAGATTGACTTGCAGTCGTATTATCACAAACAGTTGTAGTAGCTGTTACAGGAGGAGGTGCCGGCTTCACAACAGGAGTCTAAATATTACCCAAAAAATATAATTTATAATTACAATCCTTAACAGTGCAGAATGATTTACGTCCTACCAAGAATAATTATGTGTGTAATATGAATATAAAATTTCAGAATTATATTTTCATAATTAATCCAGTTTCGACCAAAGGTACGTAAATGCACCATTTCTATGAATATTTTTTACTAGCACTGTGATGTGTATGTTTCACTAATTTTATTTTTTCTGCTATTATCAAAAGTTCTGAAGATATCTATAAAATATTAGTAATTCAATTGGAATTAACACTTAAACTAAGCTAGTTTCTTAATTTGATTGACTAATTCACCTTTCATTAACTAATTGACTAATTCACCTTTCTAAATTCACCTTTCTAAAGATGTATAATTACTCCATTTGAAATTAATCATATATTTTTATGATGGATTAAAGTTGCAAGTTCTGTAAATAATAAAAATAAACAAATTTCATAAAAAAAGTAGTGTTCGAGTAAATGATTTCTCCATTGATTTGTCCGATATATATAACCACATTTTAATTCTGAAATAAAACATTAATTTTCATGCCTGAAACTTTTTATTGCGTCTTAATGAATGCGATTTAAACTCAGTTCAATGAAAATAATACCACACTTAATAAAATTTCTATACTTGGCTTAAAATCGGTCAATTATTTCTATACTTGGCTTAAAATCGGTTAATTATATTTCAATTAATTGTAAATATGAAAACAAGACCTGTCGCTTTATACACAACATTGGAAGCAGTACGTTAAAGTGCCATAATGCTTATATGGTGGCATCGATCTTTTAAGGGTTCAAATTTTTTATTACAACTAAACTAATTATGCCTAATAACAAATATCTTGTGAGGAATAATGGAAATTTCTTTTTCATTCTACTGTAAAAAAACAAAAGACAAAAAGTAAGATCTGACATAAAAAGAACAAAGTTTCATCAGAAATATTTCAGAGAAAAGATATACATACGGGAAAATGATAAAACCATTTTAAGTATCATATTTCGCTTCTTGCTGAGATAATCATCTGTTACAATGAACTTCCACATNCGTCAACACCTTCAGCACAGACCTTTCGCATTTGCAAATCCTCTGTCACAATCCCACGTACCACACATTTTGGCAAGTTTAGGGTGTTAGCGATTACCTGAATGCTTAACCGACAGTCTGACTTCAAAACTTCACTCACATGCTGGACGTTTTCATAGGGTCGGGCTGTTGTTGGGCGTCCAGAACAAGGTTCGTCGGTGACTTTCTCCCGACCCTCCTTGGAGGCCTTGTGCCAACTTCCACACTGAGATCTCGAAATGCATTCCTCCTTAAAGTCGTCTTGAAGCATGTGATGAATTTCCGTTGCACTCTTCCCAAGTCGCACACAAAACTTTATCGCGTACCGCTGTTCCAGCAAACGAACACTCCATCACCCCGTGACTCGATCGAAAAAAAGACTTAGCGCAAAGACACGTCCTACCACTCCTACTGCTCGGATCGACCCGAGACCAGGCTTGTTTGGAAGAACAAATCCCCCACCACATTTTTTGGCCAATCTGAGTGCGCTGCGACTAATAGTCGCGTCACAATAAAATCATGCGCATTACTTTCAGAACGCACCCTGTACATACAGGAAAATGAAGTATCATATTTCGCTTCTTGCTGAGATAATCATCTGTTACAATGAACTTCCACGTATCTGATGTAATGATTAATATTAAATTTTTGCAGAATGTGTATTGCTTTGCTCTATGTTGGATAAGTTTCAAAAAAACTTTTTATAGAGCATGCATTACTCCAAAATCGTTAAATAAAATGATTCATTCCTTTAGAATGATGTAAAAACTTTTTTATTATTTTACTTATGATTTAACACTAAAATATGACCATTTTATTCTATTCTTTAACTCACAATGAAACAGGCAAAACTGAATGCACATGAAATAAAATCATTAAAAAATGTGCTATAAAACACATATGAGATTAATTTGTGTGGAGCAAATTTATACATCAATATTTTTGTTTCAAAAGATTTAAGTATCAAATTTAAAACTGTACTCCCTTAGCAGAATTTACAGAACGAATCTGCAGCACTATCTTCATGAATCCAAATTTGTCTACGACCTCGACCTAGTCAAACAGAGGTTATTATAGTAAAAAGTCAGCTTCAAGAAACAAATCAAATATGAGGTTCTTGAAAAACTTTATATTGTTTGTTTAGTTATATTGTTTGTTTAGTTATATTGTTTGTTTGGCTTTGTAAAAAAACTGTGATAGCAAAAACAAACTTAGTGAAACTAACAGCTGGATTCATACATAAAAATTGTTGGCTATACAAGCCAAAACTTTTATTTATCTTTATTCAAAAAAAAAAAAATTCCTTTCTTTTTAAATGAGAAAAGGCTTGCAATAGCAGAATTTGAATGTTATATACCATAAATTCAAATTTAAAATAAACTTACACTGTGTGAAGAACCTTGCTTCAATAGGTTCACCAAATTCATGTTAGAATTCACAGGCTTCATAGTAGTATTCTGCTGCTGTTTCTCCAATTGCTGAATCGGGTGAGATTTCATCTGAATAGGACGCGGTGGTGGCTCAGAAGACTCTACTTTAACAGACTGAAGTTGTTGCGATTTTTGAATGAGCTTTTCAATTTCTGCTTCCATCTTGCACTAATAATAATTTTACAATTAACATTTTATTCGTAACATCCAAACAAAATAGCAATTTAAAACTGGTTGCATGTGTGCAAGAAATAAGACATACTTTTTAATTATAAAAAAAAAAAATAAGTAAAATTGATTTCACCACTTAATAATGCTATAGCCAAAATAATAAAAATGCGTAAACATACCTCATTCAACGCAATAAAAATATTTAATGTTATAAAAAAAATGTAATTTAAACAACTCAGACAAATTTAGGTAAAGTAGGGAACCGATTATCCGGAACAATTGGGACCATCGATATTCCGGATAACTGATTTTTCCGGTTTTCTGAACCGCTGCAAAAAGCCGTTTTTTTATAGTTAAACCCAACTAAAAAAAAAAATTACAAATAATCTTTAAAAAAGGAAAAAAACGATGAAGTAATACACTAATGATTATTTCCACAATTATGGTAAGGTAAACATCTTTCAAAAAGGAACGAAAAATCCTAAAATCTTATGAGAAAAAAAAATGTATTTTTTTTTTTAAATTGGCGGGAAAACGAATCGAATTTTGTTCCGGTTTTTTGGTTTTCCGGTTTTCTGATTTCCGGATAACGGGTTCTGTACTGTACTAGATTTTAAAGCAATTCATTGCAAAAAAAAAAAAGTCTACGTACAATGCGCAAAAAAAAAAAAAAAATCTTACCGGATTTTCACGGACTAGAACTAGATCTTAATGACTTAAGTGGGTGATCTCAAATATGTAATTAATAAGCGCAGATGATATTTTAAGTTATGAAATCAAGCACAAAAACGTACTTTCCCTGAATAAACTTACTTTTTTTCCGACAGATTCGGATATTTGACCTTCAAAATATAGGGGGTAGATGCAATCCAGGAAATATGATAGGACCCCTTAATGTTAAATTACTGTAACTTCGCAGAGATACACCGGGTTGTTAATAATTAAAAACATACAACTTTGGTATCTGTGGCGTATCTAATGTGGCAATCTGTCTAGTGTATTATATCCCAGTACGTTTGAACTAAAAATCAAAGATTTGTGCTCATTTTTTTTTATTGCGGTCAAAATTGCAGCAATGGTTGCTCTAGCGTAAAGTCAATAATTTTTGAGTAAGCAAACAAAATTTTCTGATTTTTCTTTTTAAATTTTTTTATCATTAAACACAGAGAAATAATTAACTGTTTTCTGCCCAATTCAAACTACCTGGAATTCCATAGCTGGCTCTTGTATCGTGAATACCTGCTTCAGAAATACAATTTAGTTTACTGCTTTGTGGATTGTTTTACAATAAACCCTTAAATTGAAAAAATAAAGTAGGCAAACCATACTACGTTAGAAACACATTTTCCCACTTCCCTTTCAACAAACAGAAGAAAAACAATTGACCCCTTTAAAAAAGAGGGGGGGGGACAGACTTAGCAAGAGGTCACATACCTGGTTTTGAATTTGGTTTGCTCTGCAACCTTTGCCTTTATTTTGTCCTGTAATTTTTTGCTGAAGAGTAGCAAGCTGTTCAAGAACTTTTTGCAGCTCAGGTCCACGGTATTTCAGTGTTAGAAGCTCAGTTATTTCCTTTTGCAGCTTGGGAAGAATCTTTTTAAAAAAAAAATTAAGATCAACACATGATAAAAACAGCAAAAGATGAAATTCACTTATTCAATAATCATAAACAATACAAAATTTGAGAAAGCAATAGGAAAGAAAAGATGGACCCATTTCAAAATGTCTGAATAAAACAATTTGAATACAAGAATAATTCTAATATAAAATAAACTACATTTTCACCCTTTCTTTTTTTTGGACTGATTTTTGAGATCTTCATACATAAAATGTTATTTTTTATTCTTTTAATTCAATTGAACATATGATAACTTTGGAAAATGATTGTCTTTAAAGTGCACATAGAAAGAGTGATATAAGTAAAATAATTTTTTTCCTAGTAATATAATAGATTTTTTATTTAATCTTCCAACTATCTTCTTTGCAAAAAAAAAAATTAATTAATTAATAATAAAGAATTATTATGAACATCATTTGATTCTTTTTTTTTAAATAAAATTTCAAAATTCTGCTTATTTGAGTTTTACCGTTATCATTATTGTATCTATAAATGCAGCTGTAATAAATTTATAGTATATACAATGATATAATACATTAATGTAATTTATAAATATGATTATCATATTGAAAATATAAGTTTGACAATTTTTACAATTACAATTTAGGAGATACTTTACTTTCCCAACCAGTTTACAAACGCGGACTGGTCAGCATTCAATAATTTTTCAGCTGCCAATTGTGTAAGATCTGATCATATGGATTTTAGATGGTTTTGAATATTAATTTAAATGTAATTGTTAGTTGAACATTTCTTAAAAACAAAATACAGCAATATTTATGGTATTTGTTATACACCACAATAAATAAAATAAAAATAATGTAATGTTCCTTGGGCGACCAGGTACCATTTAATTTACGGACCGGTCTGCGGCCTACTGCCTTACATTACATCACTTGTCCAATGGCAATATATATATTCCCTAATAATTTTTAACACTAGTTATAATATGGAAATAATATATATTCCTATATAATAAATAAACTAGGGTTAATAATTTTTACCAGATTTTTTCTCATGGTTTTTACTGGTGAAAACCCAACCCTGTCTTATTAATTATTTTAAAATCCAGTTTTTATCTTTTAATTTTTAAAAGACTTAAATTAAAAAGTGAACATACTTGATTTGGCACACTAGATGATATAGAGGAATGATTATGGCTGGACACTACAGCACCATTGTCAACGGCTTTCACAGCGTGTGGCGTCTCCTTATGAGTACACTTGGGTAATTCTGCTTGAATATTTTGAGAGCTACTACTCACATTATTCACATGCGAGTTCTGAATAATTTTGGGAATACTTTGGATACGCTGTTCATTAGGAACAACCAGTGTACGGTTCACTCTGTTTTGCACAGTTGACGTAACCACAGACGGTGCATGAGACACTATAATGTCCTCTGTCAGAAGCACCCTTTCAAAATTTCCAGGAAAAGACGTCCTTTGTACAACTATGGGAGTATTGTTTACACTTAAACTTTGTACAGATAATGGCACAAGAGTCGTAGTAGTTGTTGTAATAGTGGTGGTTGTCACTGATGAGTTTGTAGACACGCCTACACCAGGTGACAAAGCCAACGATGCTACATCAGGCACGGTGATTGCTGGAGCAGCATTCAACCTAGCAATCAGTGCAGAGTGATTGCGAGAAGAAGTTGACTCAGTTGAAACAACAGGAACTGATGCAGTGGATGTAACAGTAGGAAGGATTACAGGACAATTAGTCCTAGCATGAACTTGACCAGAAGGAACAAAATGCTGCTGCATCCTGGAGGGTCCACTAATTGTATTATGAGACTGGATGATGACACTTCCGTCTTGGGCCACGGCTACTTTAAGAGGCCCTAAGGTAGAATGATTTTGGGGCTGAAATGCAAAAATATTTTAATTAATAACTACAAATAACAAATAATTTTTAAAAAGAAAAATTATATGGTTGAGGAAAACTGCTCTCAACTCAATTGTCAAATGGGTATATGCAAAATAAAAATGGCTGTAATAGTGGTTCTACAAAAATAGTATTATGTCTCATTAGAAATGTGTTAGAAAGGCATTTTAATTTCAGTTAATTTTCAATGCAAACAAATGATTGATATCTGCAGTATCTTTCAAAAAATGAAAAATGCAAGGTCGATGGAATTAAAATAAAAGGTGAAGAAAGTGTTCTATTAGGATTGCTAGTTCTAGGGAATTTATTTTCACGAAACCACTCCAACACTATTTTGCAATTAACATATTCAGAAAAAATGTTTCTTTTTTTTTCCTAACGGCAGGCACTGAACCTTTTTCGTTCTTCGTCAAGAAAGATGCCTGAAGTGTTACTCATTTAACGCTACCCAGTGGGCACCTGTAAACCTAAGTCACGGAGGCAAGCAACATTACCCAAGTCACACCTACCTGTTTATAGGGTGGGCCACATTCACGCAATAGAGAACAACATACAGAGAGAAACATGAGATGCCCTCAGCAGGATTCAAATCCGCAGTCAAGCACGCTAACCACTCGACCATCTGGCTGGCGAAACAAAATTTATGCTTACCTATTTTTAGATTTTTGAAAAATAGGTTTGGCTTGAGTTGGAATAAAACTGACAAAAATACTACTAATACAAAATTAATGATGGTGCATAAATGAAAACTAGGTTATTGAGAACTATGTTGTTGTTGTAAGGTGCTTAGCTATCCCAATATAATAACAAATTTTTAAGATATTGTGCAGCCAATAGTACCTTTTACTGAAGGATTAAAAAACAAGAAACACATTCTGAAAATGGAACACGCCTAAATTAACAGATTGGAAGGAAGAAAGTTCTTAACAAATTATAATAACCCTTGCTACAAGTTATGAAAGAAGAAACTAATTCTCAGTTTTAAACATTCATTAGGGGAATAATATCTTCTGATAATCTCATCATACCATTATCAAGATAATTAAACTTCTGCCATTAAAAATTTTCTTAGAAGTTTTAAACTAATAGTTGTTTTCAGTATGTCAACTCATTATTTTCAAATACTAATTTTACTTACACAGCACTAAAAGATTTAAATAGCTTGGTTTATGTTCATAATGGTTGTAACAGATTCAATAAGGAAACAATTAAATAATAAGAATGCAAACTTACTTGTTCCAAAACTATCTGTTGTGACTGTAGTGTTGTGACTAAATGTGGAGATGGTACAAGGGATTGCTGCTGGGGTGGATCTTCCATTAAAGGCGAATTACAGTCAGGAGAAGGAAGTGGAGAATTTTCCGTGGGAACAATGCCATGTTCTTTCAATAATTCTTCAAGGTTAACGCTAGGAATTTTGGAAGATTTTGGAGGGGAATTTGACTTAGGAGAGCTTTCTATTTGGTGATTTTGGAGAGTCTGATTGGTAGGTAACTGTTGAGGAGGAGCCAAAGGCTGTGGCACTTGTATCACCTGAGGTGATGAGTGTTCTAAATGGCTAGAAAAAGGAACTGTACCAAACAAAGACTGTTGTGGCTGTTGTTGTAAGGCAGACTGTGGTGGATGAGATTGAAGGGATAAACCAGATATAACCCCTCCTTGGCCAGCTGCCATTACACTATGCATCGGAACTGTGACTGGGGCTAGCTGCGCGTTTCCCAACGTAGCAGTCTGAAGATGAGGAACAGCAATGGCCTGGCTGGGAGCAAAGAAAATGGGACCAGTGGGAGTTTGTATCTGTTGAAATTGAATACCATGATTCCCAACTACCCTCGGAGAAAGAATGAAATTCGACCTCAAGAACTGCTGTCCTTGGGATGTAGAGGATAGGATGCCACTATTAGGAATGCCAGCAGACGATAGGTTTATGTTCTGAGATGCCAATCCAGCATGAGCAATGTTATTGGGTATTACAATTGTTTGCTGGCCATGAATTGGTGATTTAGCAGGGGCAAACAAAGTCTGTGTATGCTGGCTAGGACCTTGGAGAGCTGCAATCAAGGTAGCATTGTTCTGGTTATTCGTTGAGTTCATTGATTGTGCAGGTGATGCACTGTTTTGCGGACGTAATGTTAGTTGAATGCTACCAGGTAAGTTAGTCAAATGGCCTAAGTTTCCTTGTATTACAATTGGACTTTGCCCTACTCCTGGAATAATTGGGTTAAGTACTATTGTACCAGATGGGCTAGAAAAAACACCAGGTTGACCTTGATTGATAACTAACTGACTTGGAGTGCCAGGCTGAAGTCCTACTCCAACTGTCCTTTGATTAGTAGTAACTGGTGTATGTGTTGGTTTAGGAGCAGGAGTTGGAGTTACAAATTGATTTGCACTACAGGTGGCAGGTTTCGGTAAAATTTGGGGTGGAACTTTGGGTTGAATAGGGCGAACTGCACAATGTGAAGTCCTAGATGATAATGTAACATTTGACTGAGCAGGTATCAATTGTACAACAGGCGTATTTACGGAAACAGTCGATGTCGCAACAGCGGAGGACACAGCTGTTAGTCTTTGATTAACTTGATGCTGAGACACTGGAGTTAATTGCTGCTGAAGAAAGAGTTGCTGCTGTTGTTGAAGAGTTAATTTTGGAGCAACTGATTGTTGATTGGCCAGAGCTGTTACAAATTGCGTAACGCTGCCGGAAGTTTGGAGGATTTGATTGTGTGATTGCTGGAAAGCAACAGATGGCATTGCAGTTTGAGTCCTTGATGAAGCGGGTGATAAGACGGGTGGTGCAGGTGACCAGGCAGGGGCAGGAGATGGAGTGTGAGAAGGCAGTGGTGATCTGGTTTGTTGTAGAGGAGAAGGTGGTGGCATACTATGTACAGATGATGGACCAGGTGACTTAACATTGTGAAGAGGTGTAAGGGATCTGGCAGATGCCGGAGAATGAGGATGCAAGGGCGTGTGGGTTATTGATGAAGGCAAATGATGAATTGTTGCTCCACTTGAAGAAGGGTGCTGATAGGTTTGTGGCGTCACGGCAGATGCTACCACTAGTGGCATACCACCCAATCCAGTAGTAGTAGCAGAAATTCCACCCTGAGCCAATAATGCTTGGCCATCTATTGCATAGCTAAAGCCCATTTGATCTTGTTGCTCAACTAAGTGTTCATTCGAAAGGTGATTTTGTAGAGTTGAATGTGAACTCTTCGATAGGTGTGGACTTTCAACAGCAGATTCTGGTGAAGTTCCATCCTGTGGATCCTATAAAAAAGATTTATGAATAAAGCAGCATATTCAAATTCTCCATATACACTCATATTCTGACATGTCACTTCATTAATAAGGGTAAATAATCATTGCTATAGATAAATACAGTACAGAACCCGTTATCCGGAAATCAGAAAACCGGAAAACCAAACCGGAACGAAATTCGATAAATTTTCCCGCCATTTAAAAAAAAATAATAAATAAAAATTTTTCCTCATAAGATTTCAAGATTTTTCTTTCTCTTTTGAAAGATGTTTACCTTACCATCATTTTGGAAACAATCATAAGTGTATTACTTAATCGTTTTTTCTTCTTTTTAAGATTATTTCCAAATATATATTTTTTTAGTTGAGTTTGACAATAAAAAAAACTGCTTTTTGTAGTGGTTCAGAAAACCGGAAGAATCAGTTATCCGGAATAGCGATGGTCTCGATCGTTCCGGATAACCGGTTCCCTACTGTATTGCTTTTGCTACAACCACATTCCAATGAAAATCGATTCAAACTTTAATTATATACTATTTACTCGGAAAGAAGCCTTATTGACTCACTTAAATTCAGATTTTCTTTTTAGACATATTTACTAAATATTCATTAAATATCTTGGAACAGATAATTGAAGAAGCAAAAATGAAATTTAGAGAAACCTATAAAGCATATAAAATACACATTGAAAGGTCTTTAATTAGAAATAGTATCTGGTTATTAACATAAAATACCAACAAAAATGCACCTGCATGATACATTGTCTATTAGAACGTTTCTTTGATTATAGTTTTTGTAGTTAATAAAACCGAAATGTCCAGAGGAATACTAGTGCCGATAATAAAGAATGAATGGTGTGTCAAATATGATGTAAAAGTAGGACAATATCTCAGCAAACTTTACTAGTCCAGTAAAATGTGTAGATCCAAAACAGCAAGGTAAAGAATTTGAATTTTGATTTCCATACAGTATTTATTTATGATTTTTTAACATACTAATTATTAGACTTTTCTAAAGTTAAAATATATAACCCAAGTACATATTTTTAAGTATATAAATATAACTAAGGCCAAGTATGTAAATACAACTAAAAATTTATTTGGCCATAGCATTCAACGTAAAGGTAAATATAAATTGATGATAAATTGGACAAAATAAAATGAGAGGAAACAACCAAGAAAAGTTAATTTAAACAAATTAATTAAAGTAACAATTAAGCACAGCAATAAAAAATGGGCATCCAACACATCCAAGGCAAATCTGATTGTTTGTTGCTTAAATTGGTATTTTATTTATTAAATCTCTTTAATACTTCATAAAAGTAAATCAAGTCAAGAAAACTCTACCATCTTGGATATAGAGAAATTATCAAATACTGTAAATTTTAATATCTTGCAAAATCATGTTAACTAAAAGAACAGCAAACAAATTCTAGGTAGGGTAATTAAGAACTTTATTTACATCGCACTAGAGCTGCACAATGGGATATTGGTGAGGGTCTGGGAAACCTCCCTGAGGATGATCTGAAGACATGCCATCACAATTTTGATCCTCTGCAGAGGAGATGGCACCCCTGCTTTAGTAGCCTGACGACTGTGGTCACTCCCTTTATGGTAGAACACTTTAACTAGGACCAATACCGCACAATCTCGGTCCCTAAGCAGACTGATTAAAGTGGTCACCCACCCACTTACTGAAAGCAGCTATTGATACTTGACTTTGGTGTTCTACTAGGAACCACGTCTTTACAAACAGTCCACAGCGGTACACAACAAAATTCTACTATCGTGAAATCTTAAATGCACCTACAAAAGTCTATTATCTAGTTCAAAGAATTCAGTAATCCTTTCAGAATATTTTTTAATCAGAAAGTATTTTTATTCTCGAATATCAGAGAAACATAAAAAAATTTTCATAAAACATTATTTTAGATTCCAAGTATTTGTGTACTAAAAATTGATAGTACAATTTCACCAATCAGTTACTTCTTGGTTAAATTCAGGTTGCTAACCACCTAATATAATTTTATTCAAAAAAAAAAAAAAATATTCTTTAAAAAAAATTGAATGGAGTTTTACAAAGAAAAATTTAACACACCTGAATGAAATTTAACGACAAGCAAATCAAATTTTATTTGATGAAGAAAATTATAATTAAAAGGAAATAAGATAAGTTGATTCCTCAATAAAAAATATCATATTTTTTAAAACGCCTCAACTTTGTACTGCTCTCTCAAACTAAATAAAATGCTAAAAAATTAAAAACTATATTTACTATTATAAACTCTATTTATTTAAAAAAAAATTTCATTGATGTATTCGCAGTTTTAATGAATTTCGAATAATCAAGATATTATTTGATAACTGTATTTATTTTTATAATTTTAGTAATTATGTATTAAAAATAATCATATTAGTCCTTGGTTTGATTTTACATGAATATAATTTGTATAATCTTAGTAAAAAATTAAGTGTTGAAATTATTCGTATTTAGCATGCTGAAAAATAAATTCTATATGCCTAAAAAATATATTCTAAAAATACATTAAAAACTACACTGTAGACCACAAAATATTCTAGAAAACCCATGTTTTTAACAGCTGTGATAATAAAACTCTTGAGTATTTTCTTAAAAGCAAAATTCAAATTAGTTAGGCATATTCAATCAGATCTCTCAATTTTAAGAAAATACACATGAAATACTTTTTATTTCACAGAACAATTCATTTCTCTTTTACTTTAAGAAATTTTACTTTTTTAGATAATCTGAATTTGAAAATTGACAATTGGTGTCAATTTTCAAATTCTGTTTCAAATTAACTGTAGAATTTTCAATCAATTTAAGTTCATTGAGTGTACAAATCATAATTATTAATTGCTAAAATTTCATTTTGTTTTTCTTCTAACTTAAAAACGAATTATGTAAGAAAAATATAACAATACAGATTAAAAACTTGGCAAAAAACATTTGATTAATAAAAGACATTTGATGATTTATTCTACTTTGATTGCAATGTTAAGATTCTCAATTTTCTAATGCACAGATCATATAAAGTTTTAATTCTATTCAAAAATTACAATAAAAAAGACAATCAGAGTAATTCAATAACATCTTACACTGCTAATAAAACTTAGTTTTAAAAAACGTTTAATTAACTCTTAAATCATCGATTTACATAAAAGGGTAGAAGGAGGGAACACTTTTAGACATTTAAACACAAAAGGCCTTCAAGAGGACGCCATAGCATAGAAGAAACTGTTCGTCGCAAATTTTCTTTCACCTCCATTATCAATTTATAATATAAAAGAAAGAAAAAATGAGTTCAGGCAAACTTAGAGTAAACCATGAAATTTCAATTGATGAAAAAAAAATCAAAATGCAAACAAATTATTAGAAGAGAGCTTACCCCTTGCATAATGGGCGATTTCACAGTATTGTGCATGTTGCAGACATGAAATTTATTAACTTTGATTACTCACAATTAAATAAAAAATTGAGTTGGGTGACTTTTTTTGTATTATAAAATCAGGAGACATGTCTTTCTTTGACCCAATGCATATTTAAAAAGTAATATGATTTTTAACACCTTTAAAATAAAAATTTGAGTGCTGCAGACATGACGCTGAAAAATATGGTTTTTAGAGCGTTTTTCTACGTTTACCAAAATCTCTGAATTTTATAAAATAAATTAAAACCTTTTTATAGGTAAGATTTCAGTAATTATTTATTTGTATAAAAAAAATCACTAGACTCTTTAAGAGATAAAATTATTTTCATGAAAAATTACCAAATTAAAAATAATGTGTATGCTGCGGCCAGGACGCTGCAGAAAATTTCTCATTACAAATAACCTTCTTAGATGGTCATATATCATTAGAACATTACAGACTTCGTTTATTAAATAAAATAGATTAAATTATGATCGTTTAATTATTTATCTTTTTAATATTTTAAATTTTTAAACTTAGATTTTATAATAAAATTAATTACTCTTAATTACTTTAAGATACCTGGCAAAAGATGTGTAAAGAAATACATTACAATTTATATTATTTATCTTTAAAGCAAGTTCTGAATTGTATGAATAAAACCACATGAAATGATCATGTGGCCAAAGTTTGGATCATGTTTCCAAATATTTAAGCTTGTTTACAGTTACAATTTGAAATGGTGTTAAAATGTCATATCTGTCTTGATTTTAGAAATTATTTGGCCAGGCCACCTATAGTTATCAAACAGTACAGCTACCCACTGGCCTTGTTCTAAAACTGCAGCTGATGCTAAAGCTTGTTGTTCTGAAGCTACGGCAAGTTTTGAAGGCAGTTTAGTAAATAATACAACTAAGTGCATGATTTGGGGACTTGAGAAAGGAAAATTCAACTGAAATAAGTGTTATAGGAAAGATGAAACGTAATAATCTTGTATGTGGGATTGATTTGCAGACTACAATGTTCTTTCAACATCAATGCCTCATGTTCGACACTGTCTTTGCTTATGAACATTATTTTTATATTTCCATCTGAAATTTTACAAGCCACTTCAAAAAAAAAAAAATAATAAGATTTTGCATTAATGACAACTACTCTATCTCGCAATAAAGCTCACAAAACTACATTTTTTAGAATGCCGCCCAGTCCATCAAGAGCGTCCTTCTCATGAGCTGTTTCAAAGAATGACCAGTCAGCATCAATTGTTGAATACTTTTTTCAGATAAGCTAAATTTGCAAATACAAATCAATTTTTGAATTGACTGGCAGTTCCATCATACAGGGGTAATTGTGAGCCCAAGCCAAAATTCCGGAAAATTTCTTGAGTTAAAAAAAAAAGTTTAAATGGAAAAAAATTTAAACAAGTTTATTTTTCCTTTTTCTCAATATTTCTTAATTTACTTAAAATATATTTACAATTTTACACATACCTATGATGACCTGGAGAAGTAATTAATATTTACAAATATGTATTTTTTTCTTGAGTTAATGATTATAACAACTATTTACTGATAAAAAATGAATATTAATCATGATTATAAGATTATAAAGTATCTCTCTGGCTCTCCCTTACAAATAAATAAAATAAACTGTGTTTTTAAGTTCCACCTTTGAAAATTTGATTTCCGGAAACTTCTGTGATCAATGATTTTTTTAAACGTCTGGACCTTCAACCTCCGGATCACTGTTAGCGAAAAATTCGGAAATCCGGATCTTTCCGGAGCACAATCAGCCCTGATCATACCAGTAATGTACTTTTGAACTTTTTTTTGATTCATTAAATTAATTTTTTTTGTTTCATTAGATGAGATAAAAAAATTTTATTAAACACATTCACACTATCTTTATTGTGTGATAGGTTCATCAAATATAATGGCATACGATTGATGGTTTAATCAGGGTGTGTAGCCAAATCTTTCAACAAAAAATAAGCACCTTTTAAGTACTTTTTAAGCACTCAAAAAATATTTTTAAGCACTATATACATTAACAAAATGCAAAATAATTTTCAAAGACTTTACATGATCATGATAAAATAACTAGTTTCTGACAAAGAACTCTTTTTCTTGATTATATTAGCCACCATAAAATGATCAAGAGATTTTTTGGTTTCATATCAGAGGTTGAAAAATGAAGTCTGAAATTGAGAATATCTTGCAAAATGCAGCAATGTGTTGCACATGAGAGTACAATAATCTCACTGAACCTAGCTCGGTATATATTAGGGGTCTGTCAAGGTTTTTCTCAGAGGTACCTATTTTGTGAAAATTTAGACGTAATTTGTGAAAATTAAAAATTATATTTTAAAAAAAATCAACACAAAAATATGGATTTATCGTTTCTTACGAGACACAAAAATAAAATTTTAAGAAAAAGTTTTTTGTGTTTCCTAAAGTTGAATTTGTGAAGGTACCGCTAAACGGAAGTAAATTTGGCTTGGACAGACCCCTGTATATGCACTAATGGACTTGCGAGTATTTCATCAAACATGTAAAATTATTAGGGCTTTCATACGCTATGGACCTACGGTACTCCGAAACGAATAGTTAAAATGTTGAATAGATCAATGTGAAAAACACGCTTTTGCATAATATGTGGCATAAATCGACATGGTAACGAACAAAAATCTCATTTTTGAAAAAGGAAAATTAGCACTTTTTAAAAACACCCAATGAAAAAAGCACCTTTAAGGGCTTTTAAAAAACGAAAATCAAAAATAAGCACCTTTAAGCACTTTTTAAAAACCTACGCACAATGTTTTAATGAATTACTTCTACCATCCTTGAAATATGCAACACAAGTGAAGATTGTGACACTGTCCGTCGCCAGTGTATTTGCCCTTTTAGAGGTTAAACATGTATAATATAAACTAGAAGTACTACACATTAATGGTAATTTATACATAAAATAAAAAATTATTTTTTATTTTTGCACAAAAATGTAAATAATATTTTGCAACCAATAGCCTATTCGTATAAAATAGTTTTTAAATTCATTCCGTAATAGGCTTATTTTTTCTAAGCAATAAAATACTTTGTTTATATTTAATTTATATAACACATAACTCATCTTCCATAAAGTTTGTCCAAGTTTACCAGCTTAAAACTATCACAAAAAAAGACAAGCATTGACTTAGCTTAACATTTACAAGTGACTATTTTGCCCCTCTTTATTTAGTTATTACAGAGTAGGGAGGGTTTTTTTTTAATTATTTGGCCTTTAAAACTATTTATTATCACCCTACAATGCTTCTGAGAAATATATGTAAGAAATTAAATAATGAATAATGTAAGAAATTAAATAATGAATGATAGAAATTATATAAGAAATTAAACACATGATGATTATTCTTCCAATGGAAGAGTTGGCATTGACATAAGCATAAACAATGACATAAATAGCAAACAAATCATAAATAAAAAATGAAAATAAAAAGCACAGGCAATATAAATAAAAAAATACTTTCATGCATGAATCTCTAAACATATTTATCATGAAATACATAGAAAAAAAATTTTTTTTAAACACTAATGCATGTAATAAGAGGCTTCAACCTTTCAAATAAAAATTTACTATTCAATGTGTAGAAAGTTGGGGATGAAAGGTAAATAATTTTGAATCATTGATATTTAACTTTCACAGATATATTGTTATTTACTCTTTTCAGCAGTATCTATTGAAGCATGTAAAATAAGTGACCCAATATAACAAGAAAGTGACCCAATCAGAAACTGAGAAAAATAATGTGCAGTATTTAAAATTTGCAACGGAATTTTCTATACCAATACAATTCTACAATCAGCATTTTTATAGCAGGGTTGTCATTTAAATCTGGAAAAACAAGTCCCTGTTTTCCCTGTACATATTATACAAAATAGAGGAAAAACACAATCACTGTGCTCTTGCATGAGCTATTGTGGGCTAACTATACTAGTTATAATTGCCGAAAAATCTTAAGGAAAAAAGAAATAGCTGAACATACTTAAAACAAATAATGCTATAGTGAATGAACTAGATAAATATAGCTGAAATATCATCCTTAAATATTGCACAGATTGCACTTTGAGTGGTTACCATTTCTTGAAAGACGAAAATAAGAAACAAAATTCACTGCATTTTCCCAGTTTCTAAATAATAAAAAAAAAAAAAAAAAAAAAAAAAAAAAAAAAAAAAAAATAAAAAAAAAAAATTCCCTGTTATTTCAGGTGATTTTTAAATTCCCTGTATTTTCCAGATTTTCCCTGTGGAATGGCAACCCTGTACCAGTTTTAATTGCTGGAAAAACTTAAGTGGAAAAAAGGAACAGTTGAGCATACTTAAATAATGCTATTGTAAAGGAAATAGCTAAGTATAGCTGAATCCTTAAATATCCCGAAGATTACGCTTTGAGTGGTCACCATTTTTTAAAAGACGAAAGTAAAAAAACAAAATTCCCTGTATTTCCCCAGTTAGTAAAGAAAAACTCAAAATTCCCTGCTAATTTTTAAATTTCCTGCTCTCCCAGTGGAGTGGCAACCTTGTCTGTGTATCACTGACTAAATTTTCTTTTTTTTTTTCTACAGGTGCTCAGAATAAAATCTCATCTAAAACATGAAAATCAAAGAATAAATCTGAGAATCAAAGATAGTGGCAGATTATTTTCTCAAAGTCTTTTGTTTCCAACATTCTTTTTGATCATGGAAATTATTCAACAGCATAATACCTTTAAACAGGGCCAAATCTTTCAGCAAAAAATAAGCACTTTTAAGTATATAAGTACTTTTTAAGCACTCAAAAATTTTTTAAATGGCTATGTACGTTAGCAGTATGTACTTTACACGATCATGATAAAAATAACTAGTTTCTGACAAAGAACTCTTTTCTTGATTATATTAGCTATTAAAAAAAGATCGTAAGATTTATAGGTTCATTTTCAGAGATTGGATGGAAAATGAAGCTTGAAACGGAGAATATCTTGCAAAATGCAGCAGAGTTCCAGATGAGAGTGCAATAATTTCACCGAACCCAGCTCAGAAGACGCACATGCGAATTCTCAAGTTTAACAACAAACATGTAAAATGATTGGCGCTTTCATACGCTATGAACCGGCGTTAAGTCGAATTGGATTGTGGTTGAATGAATTGTGGAAACGTTGAAGAGAACAATGTGAAAACCATGCTTTCGCATAAAACATGATCAAAATCTAAAAAGTAAAAAATATCTCATTTTCGAAAAAGGAACATTAAGCACTTTTTAAAAACACCCAATGAAAAAAAAGCACCATTAAGTGCTCTTAAAAAACAAAAATAAGCTCCTTTATGCACTTTTTAAAAATGCTAATCAAGGATGAGATTTTTAAAAGGATGAGAATTTATGGTGTCACTTTATTAGATTTGGAGAACTTTTATATTGTTTCTTACTTAGGACAAGTAATTTAATATTGTATACTTGTCATTTTCAGAAACTTATTTTTATTTCCGTTAGAGTTCGTAATAGCAGTACTTAAAATCAAAAAATTTTTCTGAAATCTAAAAACAAGCAAACAAATAACATTAAACTATCTTTTTTGAAAATACTGATTGCAGAAATGTGTCAGTATAATTTTGCTGCAAAATATTTGAAGATATCCTAGTACAATGCCCCTTTTATTTCTCTCAAAGAGGTCTAACTTAGCAATGAATTAGTATTTTATAAGTTTTAAAGGACACTGCAGATTAGATTAAATATCAATCAAAAAAATTTGGTCACCAGGGAAGCCTCTTAACACTAACTTAAATAATGATATAATTCTTAATGATGGATGAAAAAAAGGATGCATGCTTAAAAATATATGACGAATTATGAGGGATGATTTTAAAAAAAATGATTAAATTTTATTATGACTTGAATAACAGATTAAAATTATTGCTGAAGAATTTTTTTGTAGGTTATATGAAGAAAAAAAAATGGCAAAGAGCCAAATAGTCTATTAAATAATTTGCACTCTTTAAATTAAAGTGTGCAATATAAACAAATATAAATGCCTAACTATGAAATTGATTTTTAACCAGCTATTTTTAAATAATAAAACAAGGTTTAAATCAATACTTTAGGAGGAGTTTCTTACCTCTAAAAGAAAATCCAGCTGGTTAAAGTCTAAATAAGGTTCAGTACTCAGCATATTCATTAACACTCAAAGAAAATCTTGAAACTAAAAAAACTAAATAAAAAATAAAAACCCAAAAACAAGGGCTAATTTTTGTTTTTGTTTATATATATAGATATATATATATTTTACATGGAGACCTTTCAGAACTTCATGGAGGGGCAAACTGGGCGAAATTTTTTATTCAATATTTACATCTGAAAATGAAACACAAAATAAAAAAATTAGATATATGTGGAGCTTAAAAACATCTGTTGAAGTTCAGTAGAAAATGCTCAAAACAATCTTTTTTTTTTTAAATCCAAAAACAAAAAGGGTGTTTGTTTTTTTCAAAGAAAAAAGTAAAAAATTAACAGCATGCAAAACAAGCAAAATTAAGAATTACTTCATATCATAAATTAAACAATATTTATCACAATAAAATTAATGGATAATTGATAAACATTGAATTAAAAATAACTTATATTCTTCCATCATGCAGCCAAAAGAAACAATTATGTTAATTCAAAATATCCCCCCTTCCCATTACTAACTTACCCTCACAATATTTTTAAAATATCAGAAACTGAAAATATGGGTTAGTTACAACACTAATTGGTTAAATACAAATAAATAAATAAATAAGGAATATTTGTGCAGGACATTTCAACTATTTGAGTTAAGAAGAAAAATGAAGAAGTTTATTTTGGACACTTAAACACAGAGGGCATACACGACAGATAGAACTTGACCAAAGATGTTAAAGAATGTTATTTTGTGCAAATTGAAAATTTATAAATGAAATAGAAATGGAAGACATTTGAGTACTGACAGATTCAGATGATTTTAAAAGTATGCATACACATTTCTGCCGTTTTCATATACTGTTGACAAAACAAATTTTCAGTAGAATAAATAAAGATAGCCAAGATAAAAGGTAACTAAAAGAACAATTTTTGTTAGGAAACCAAAAAGAATTAAAAATTTTCTTCTCAAGTATACTTACTTTGGAATTATCATCACTGCCACTCTCCAAAAATGATTGTAGCAATTTAGGATCACTAAAAAATTTTAAAAAATTACTGTTTGATTCACATTTTTATTTATACGATTAAATCTTAACCAATACTAAAAATCAAATATGTAAAAAAAATAACCTTTGAAACTTTAAAACAATTGTACATTAAATTTTTTAATTAAAAGGTTTAAAATTTTATATTTAAAATAATTATTGGAACAAAATTAATCCAATAATTTCCGAGTTTTTGCAAACGATTTCATTCATATCTTATACTTTGTCATTTAAAATCAAATAGTTTAACATTATGTAAAAAATTTTATAATATGCACTGTAAAATTTTTTATGTATTAAATAAAATAATAAATAATTAAGGAAAAATTTTTTTTTTCCATGAAACTATTTTCGAGTAAATGAGTTTCACAAGTGGGTGTATTAATTTTTTGAATTTCATGCTAAGTTTAGGATATAAAACCAAAAAGTGAAATTAACAATCAAGGGTCCAAACTTTTAACTACTCGAATCTAATCTGCTGAAAGTTTGAGTATTCTGAGAAAAGATGTTTATGTGTCATGTTCCATAACTTAATAAATAAATTAGCATACTTGAAGTCAACTTTTCAAACAGGTAAGAAAGGTCAGGGTTGGGGTTTTGCCGTCAAAAACTGGTTTTTGACATGACAGTGGTTAAAACCGTGTTTTTACCGGTAAAAACCGTCAAAAACCTACTGATCTCTTTAATTTATGGCATATAGCAGGCAATATATTATTTTCACATAATTGCCTTGTTAAATAAATGTTGTAAATGATTGCTATTTATTTTGCAACTATAAACATGTATTCTTATAGAAGGATATACATTCATATAGAAATATTGTAATATACTTATTGAAAATAGTGGTACTTTACTTTTAATTGTAAACTANAAACTTTCAAAGCTTGTAACTACTAACAAACTCTAAGCCAAGAATGACTTGACATTCTTCAGTAATGTAATATGCCAAACAAAATTATGCTTGGAAATGTTGAAAATTTTGCTTAGTATCCTAATATTTACTTCAAATAGTATGTTTTTGATATAATCATGTTGGGAAAATGCAAGAATCTGTTCTTAAATATCTTTTAACAACTTTTTTTCTAATTTTATTGCCCAAAAATGAATTAATTTTAAATTATAAGCAGTTAAACTCAAAAATACAGTTTTACCAAAACTATGGGTTTTTGACAGTTTTCGACGTTTTTGACAGAGGGTTTTTTGACATGACGGTAAAAACCATGGTATAAACCGGTAAAAACCGTCACGTGTCAAAAAATTGCCAACCCTGTTTTTAATACATAAAAGTTTAGCCAAGTTGTTCAGAGTGATATTTTCTTTTTATCACGGTACTGAAAAAAGATATGCAAATGTAATATTTAACACAGGGTGCGTAGCCAAATCAATTCCACAAAAAATAAGCACTTTTTAAGAACTCAAAAATATTTTTAAGCACTATATACATTAATAAAATGCAAAATAATTTTCGAAGACTTTACATGATCATGATAAAATAACTAGTTTCTGACAAAGAACTCTTTTCTTAATTATATTAATCAACATAAAAGTATCGAAACATTTTTCGGTTCAATATCAGAGGGTGGAAAACGAAGCCTGAAATTGAGAATATCTTACAAAATGGAGCAGAGTGGCACATGAGAGTTCAGTAATCTCACCGAACCCAAATCAGTAGACGCACACGCAGTTTTGCTAGTATTTAATCAAACATGTAAAATGATTGGTGCCTTCATACGCTATGGAGCAGCAGTACATCAAAATGGATTGTGGTTGAATAAATTGTGAACATATTGAATAGAACAATGTGAAAACACTTGGTGAAAATCGACATGGTAAAGGAAATATCTCATTTTCAAAAAGGGAAAATTAAGCACTTTTTAAAAAACACCCCGAGTAAAAAGTACCTTTAAGGGCTTTTAAAAAACAAAAATAAGCACCTTTAAGCACTTTTTAAAAACACCATGTAACATTCATACAGAAATAATGACATTTAATGAGATAAAAAGAAATAATAAAAATTGCTTACTTAATCACGTCAAGTAGACAACGGCCTCCATCGTCCATTGCCAAACTGCATGCTAAGAAATATTCAAGAGTATTAACTACACAATATTAACTACACACAATATTAATTTGTTACAAAATTAATGAAAACTAATTAATCGTCCTTTAAAAATCTAAAAAAGCAATTGAATCAGACTTTCGAAATACAAATCATTGTATGACAGATCATATATATGTTAAACAGAGCACAATTTAATTTTTCAAAATCAGAAGCAAAGTTTGCTGGTGCTAAATAATACTGCTTGCAATATCAGGTTTTATATAAAAAAAATTGTTATCAAAATCTGAATTGAGCATTAAAACAATCATGTAATAACAATTCACTCATAACATTTTTATAATATAGTCACTTGTAAATAATAAATGCCCGGGGGTGGCTACGAGTTATACCATTCGAGTTGGTCCCTTTCTGTGATGTTTTTTTTAGTTTCTCGCGGGCTAATGCCAGGAAGTTTCCAAGACTTGGCGATTATTCTGCCACAGATCANCTACTGTATAGTCACTTGTAAATAATAAATACCCGGTGGTGGCTACGAGTTATACCATTCGAGTTGGTCCCTTTCTGTGATGTTTTTTTTAGTTTCTCGCGGGCTACTGCCGGGAAGTTTCCAAGACTTGGCGATTATTCTGCCACAGATCACGATACGGAAATCTCCCCACCCTGACTTTTCACATTTTTAAAACATCTAGAATTCGGGCATTTTCCAATAACAGTTTAAATTTATAGGTTCCAGTACTCCAGTATTGTCAATCGTAGCACCTTTAAATACTTTTCTTTTCTTCGAAAAATTAGCAATCCTTGATTGTCAGATTTTTTAAGCAGCATCAACTTGCCTCAATCCTTGATCAATTTCCAAAATGATTTTTAACTTTTCTTCAAATAATAACGCTTTACACCAGACCATCACTTTTAACAGAAAAAATTAACAGAATATCCTACACAATGGTCTGAAGTGAGTAACGACTAACCTACTAACGAGAAGATTTAAAAGTGACCATTCTGAAATAGAAAAAAGCCTCCTATAAACAATCTGAAACTAAGAACCTTTTCAGGTAGATGCTTTGCAGATAAAAACAAGGCTGCCACTCAAACCTGGAAAAAACATTCCCTGTGTTTTCCCTGTACACATCATACACTATATATTAAGAGGAAACACAACAATTACTGTGTTCTTGTGTGAGCTATATTGAGCTAACTATATTTATTAGTTTTAATTGCTGGAAAAACTTGGAGGGGAAAAAAAGGAACAGCAGAACTGAACATACTTAAATAATGAAATTAATCAAAATAATAATAAATGAAATGAACAAAAAAAATAATAATAAATGAAGAAAAAACTTTAACAAAAATGTTTAGGAGATACTAAAAATAATTAGACATTAAGATAAATGAGACATTGAAGAAAAATTAGTAAAAAATTGGAAAAAACATGACAATCAAAGCTGATGTCATCAGAGGGTACCAGTCCTGAATTGTCATAAAATGCATAACTACCTATCATAAAAAAGCTTATAAAAAAATCAAAGTAATCAAATCAATCAAATCAAAGTATCAAAAAGTAAAATAGAAAAAATAAAAATAAATCTTAATCTTTGAAAGAATATTTTAGGCATAAATATTTCAGTTTTCCAATGACCATATTTTCAAGTAAAAAGTGAAGATTAAAATCTAATACAGACTCAATTGTCGCACCATAACAAAAATGTCAATAAAAACTTTCTTTTTTGAAAAAGAAAAAGGTAAATAGAAACCAAAATAAAAATCATTCTTAATTATTAAAGGATAGATTTAACGTTAAAAATATTAATTTAACCTTTAAACAATACTGTATTTTTAGAAAGAAATTATCATAAAAGAATAAAGTTCATTAGAAACTCTCTTAAAAAAATACTATCTTAATAAAAACGCTGTTAAAAAGAAAAAATAATTAAGAAACCAAAAGATTTTTTTTCATTAAGATTTGTTTTATCCTAGATCTGGCTTACTCAAAGATTGGGTGAATATCTGCAAGGTTTCTCCGCTAAAATTAAACTCTTTTTAAATATTTTATAAGTAGGTAGGTACATTTCAACATTATAAAATCCTATTTCATAGTTTAATAATTTTAAAACTAAGCCTAATCTCGTTTTTAAAATGTCAGCACTTATAATATGGCTAGCATTTCAATATTAATAGCTGTCATTCATGCAATACAAACATGGCACGGCAGTTAAAGAAAAAAAACAGAACTATCCACGGCAATAAAACTTCAGAAGCATGTTTTTAAAATGACATATTTATATTAAAAGAAATTACAGTTTAAAGAAATAATTATATTAAAAAGATATAATGAACTTAAAAATATGGAAAAAAATTTATAAACATCAACAATTTCACTTCATATAAAAATTTCTCGCATTCAATTCTCAATTGGAATAATTTCTTATTAAGAATCTGAAGATTTAATATTTAGTAGATATTTATATTTTTTGGTTTCTAAGATATGGCTTTTCTCAAGGCCATATTTTGAGCCAATTTTTTTTTAAATTTCAAAAATATTCGGAAACCTAGATAATGTTTTCTTCCCCAATGCCCACCTGGGAAATGACCTACGTCAGGGATGGCGAAGCAATGGCATGCAGGCCATTTATGGCACGTGACACGCCATCGATCACAAAGTTCACTATGAAGCACATTAACAAATAAAATTATAATTCACAAAAAAAAACAATTATTTACAAAAAAATAATGATTAATGTCAAATAAACAATAACCATAAAAAACAAGCTAACAATAAATAACTAGCAAAAAAATTAACAGTCCTGCTTAAACCTAATATAAGTTGCATCTTACAACCTAATATAAGTTGTTTGTCATCTAATCTGCAACAACAGGAGTTACGTTACTTTAATTTAAATTGCGCATATAACTGAAACATTGCAAAATATATTCTTTTTTCATAGTGAATAAAGAGTTTTGAGCTGATAGTATTTAGTAATAGTATTTTCCCAATAATCACGAAATCAAAATTATTTGACGGCACTTCTATGACTTCATAAAAAAAAAAATTTGAAAAAATGTCACGTTGGTGCATAAAGGTTCGCCACCCCTGACCTCTGTCATACAGGCATCTGAAGGACAGATATGGTGGCCACTTTTTCAGAGGCACCATATTAGGCAGGCCAACGTTGCTCCCACAGTTAAGACAGATAGNCGGACCGGGGGTTGGGGAACACTGATTTAAAGTACTGTCTCGCTCCGATGCAAAGACAAATGACCTTCAGGGTTCATTTTGATCTTTGACACACTCAATTTACGCTGATTGTATCGTAGATTGACGTAATGTTTCAATCTTTTTTTCGGAAGATACTGATTTTCACATGGTTTTTAAATATCCCGATATGGAAAATTCGAAGCCTGCAATTGAAGTGTATTTCGAAGTGTATTTACTTTTAAAGACAAAAATTTTATCCAATTTTTGGCAGTTATTGCTATTGATTTCTTCATAGTTTTTAAATCCGATATTTTTTAAACGATTTATTTATTACAACAACCCAATCTCTAAAATAAATGAAATACAAGGGGTGATCAAATGAAAAGGTACGAAATGACACGGTGGGTACAAATGTAGACTTTATTCAAAATATACTCCGTAGGCCTGTGCACAGCGATCCCACTGATGAACAAGCCGCAGGATTCCTTATTCCCAGAATTCCTGTGGTCTTGACGAGACCCAGTCCTTCACAGCGTCCTTGAGTATGTCGTCCGAGTTGAAGAGCTTCCCTTTCAGGTGTTTCTTCAGTGGACCAAACACATGGAAATCACAGGGCGATTAGTCCGGATTGTAGGGTGGATGGTCCAACGTCTCCCACTTGAACTTAGCCAGTTCCATGTGTGTGTCTGGAGACGTGTGAACGCACGTTATCACTGAGCAGAACCACACCCTCCTTGAACAGCCCCGGTCTTTTGTTCTTGATGGACCTGAGTAGGCGTCAGAGTGTCTCACAGTACACATCGGAGTTAATGGTTTTTCCGTGCTCGAGGAAATCGGATAACACCTCGCTGCTCCTCAATCGGCGAATTTTGCAACGCGAACGCCATCCAGTCCTCATACGGACTGCCGCATCATTTGGACGCCGCTTTTGATAAGAGCCTCTGCTCTCTCCTGCTCAAGCGGGCACCCGCGCATGTTCCGATCCCAGTCAGAGACTCCAATCGCATCCCGAGATGTCTCGCTACGTTCTCCCACAGCGGAATATGCAAATATTTAACTGTTGCGTTTTTTATGTCGTTTTGTACCTTTTCATTTGATCACCCCTTGTAGTACGATTTGCCTGATTTTGCTTTTTTTCGGCAATCACTACTATGGACATCATGACTTAATTATTTTTCACTGTGCTGATCATTTTCAAATTGCTAAGGAGGAAATAATGTGTGCGTCCCTCCCCCTAACAAAATATAAGAATATCACCCATAATATTAGAATAAAAAATTATTACATGGTCAATTAAAAAAAGTATATAGTTTTTGCAAGCACAGCTCTTTTGTTATTTTAAATCAGTAACATATATGTTTGTTATAATTAAAAGAATCTTGCAGAAATATATTAGTGCAAGAGTTTTGTCGCAGATAGCTTGGAAAAATTCTGCCATGGAGCTACTTACAATCGTTCCTTTTCCCAGTTTTTGCATAACCATTATTTTAATTAATGGACTCTCTTTAATCAATTCCTTAACAGTTGACAGAAAGTAAATCTGTAGATGGATTATAAGAATCTGATGTTTATCTACTGTCTGAAGATGAAACCAAATCTTGAATTTATGAATGGTAAATATAAATCTTCCTGTAGTATTTTAATCCAAAAAAATGATATTTTTCAATATTACAGACAAGCATGAAAAATTTGTATCAGGAAATAAAAAAAATACCTATTCTAAAAAATAATTGTAGAAAATATATATTTTAGTAAACATCTTTTCTGAATACATATGATAATACAATTAAAATTTCTATGTATAAATGCTTACATTTTTTAA